TTTATATTAATTCATAAATACAAGAGTAAATTGAATAAATGCCACTTTTTATTATTTCTATATTTATTTATATTTATTTTGGTCACACTGAACAGCATCTGGGATCTTAATTTCAACCATGGAACAAACCCATGCCCCTGCATTGGAGGCTTGGAGCCTTAACCATTACCAGTGAAGTCCCTGATTTCTGTATTTTATAAACTACGATTTATGTGATGAAGACTTCCTGTTTACAAAGAGTGTAATGGCCATGTGCAAATTACCAGATCATAATCTTAAAGCTGGAGGAGACTTTAATCATCTAAATTCTTTGTTTTATAGAAAAAACAAAAACAGCCCATGAAAGTTGAAAGAACTTGGTAAGAATGGGCTAATTCAGTATCAGAATTGAAACTAGACTTTAGGCTTTCTAATTCCCAGGTCAGTGGTTTTTCAACCACATGGACCATTTAAAACTGTTAGAGTTTAGCTCTCCTTGATGAGAATTAATTCATCTACCCCAGAAAGTTCTCTTAGCCCAACTGTCTCTAATGGGCCCTTTTGCTTTCAAAGACTTCTACTACAGAAAGCATCTAAGTAATACCCTAGATATTGAGTGGTTTTATTGCCACAAACTAGGAATGGTCTCCGTGGACTATCTTATCTTTCTAATAAACTATTTCAGAAAGAATGACATAAAATAACTACTAATTAAACCCATTGTTTCATGACATGGCATTCAGTATTTAGCTCATTGCCAACAATTCCAAGAAAGTTTGGTCATTTTGTTACATTTTGCAACTTCCAAATGACCAATTTTCCACAGATAGTCCTCAAGATGTTCCATAGGTATATTATAGAAGTTTTTCTCTGCCTCTGATGGTTATCTGATACTTTCTGCTTTGAAATATAGCCCATCTGTCTTGGCCATGTTTAGGACATACAGGATTTGGAGTGTTCATCATTGTACCAGTAAAGTCTTTTATGTTACAAGTAATAGGAAACTCAACTCATTTTTATTAGGCAAAAATGGCTCATATAATCTAAAAAGTCCAAGTAATTCTGATTTGAGACAGCTGCATTGAGGCACTTAGGACATAATCAAGACTTGCTTCTGATCATAACATTCTGCCTCCTGCTGCCCCAGGTGTCACATGGTAACTAGATGGTTATTCAACTCATGTCACATCCTCTTAGCATCAAGTCTTTTTCCAAAAATTCCTGGCAAAAGCATCTAGCTGGGCATATATCCATCCCTGAATCAATCACTAGGGCATCCTGACTGGCTTAAATCTGGTTATACACTCCCCAAGTCAAGTGTGTTCAGCTTCACCAGGACCACATGGACTGAGAACTGGAAACAGAATGGTCCCTCAGAGTCTTCTGATAATGAGATTATCAGAGGTGGAATGAAGGCAGCAAAAATAATGAGTAGCCTCCCATGTATGCATGTACTATACTAGAACTCCTGGCTTCCTAAGAAAAATCCTAGCTGCCCTTGGGTCTCCTTCAGGAAGCCAGATCAGAGTTATCCCCCAGCTTGAAAAGAGACAGTTCTTTGCAGAATTGCCTTTCCTGAATTGTGCTACAACAGGGATTTTCCACTGACTTTAATGTGTAGCCCTCTGGGACTTGTCGCATATATAAACCTGTCTGGTTTGTTCACTTGCATACAAATGATCAGGTTCATACAGGTGTTAGCATAAACAAGTGTTTACTCAGCTCCAGGAATCTGGGTACAGAGGTGTGGAGAACCCACCAGGAGAGACTCAGCTAAATTCTAGGAGAGTCTCTATCATGTAGGCCTGAGGAATTTTGCGCATCTATTGAACAGAGTGAGTTGAAGATGGCAAGGTCTGCCAGATGCTTTCTAGGTAAGATGACTGTATGCTTTATCGGAGAGTGAAAGGGCAGGCTCGGGGCATACACTGGACCTCTGCCAGGCAAATTGGGATATATTTCCAGGTGTGTAGCACCAGGAACCTAGAATAACAATGCCTCTGTGAACATACTCAACATAAGGTATGTATTCCACACTCACGGAGTATGTATGGATGCATTCAACTGCTTTATAGCTTTAGACAAACACCTTGTGGAGTCTCGTGTTTCGGCACACCCCAGAACATCTGTTGTTGTATTTTCAGAATACTTCACAGTATCATTTTTATAAAAGGATTCTTCTAAGAAATTCTCATCTGATCTTGGTACCAAGAATTGGGTTTTTCCTGTACCTGGAGTTAATCGTACGGACATTGTGGATGCTAGATCTGACCAGGTTTCTCTTTCTGCCTTGGTTACTGAGAAGCTTAAAAGTGTGTGGTCTGCCCAAAGTGTCAGTCATGGTGGCTTGTATTGACAGTGTCCTTCCTAACACCCCACCCTCTGGTTTCTCATGTAACTTCTCACTTTTGTGATTCTTGTACGTTAGGTTTTCTTGTCAGCTGCTTGGAATCCTGTAAGTAACAGAGAGATACTCCACAACCCAACTGCCCACAGAAGTGGCGTGGCCATCTCTTCAGTTGACTCTTCCAGTTTTTCAAGAGAATGCCAACCCTGCCATCTGATTGGGTTGACCTTGAAACTGTACAGCTAATTCAAACAGCTCATCAGGGAGAAAATAATGAGACAGCAGAGTCTGAACACTATTTGATACTGGGAAATTTTTACAAAATGTTTAGGTGTGATCAAGGAATTGTGGTTATGCCTTATCTTTCAGATATACACTAAAATATTTACTGCCAAGTTGTAATGGCTAAGTCTGACATGAAACAGGTGAAGAAGTATAACTCTATCCCAGGGAGAAACTTTTTTTTTTTCTAATATAGGAGAAATATACTACTACTCAACCTCTACTGGAAGGTTGGCAGCCCTGAGAACTCCCTTTTTAATGTAGCATGTTATGGACGTATTCCTGCTTCCAAAGGAATGAGAAGCAGACATTTCCACATGCGAAGCAACACATATTTTTGAACCAAAGTCTGCCATACTCACCCTCCCATCCCCTGGAATTGGTGTCAACAGATCAACATTTTGAACAAGGACCCCAGATGACTGCTGTAGGTCGTCCTTAGATCTCCCCCTCAGAAAGCTCAAGCACCATGAGAGCTTTGCTTCCTCTGACAGTCCTGGCCATTTTCTTAGGATTCCATATACCTCTTGTTCTTCTTTCTTTTAAAAAAAATATTTATTTGGCTGTGTCTGGCCTTAGTTGCAGCACACAGGATCTTTGATCTTTGTTGCAACATGCGGGATCTTTAGTTCCGGCATGAAAACTTAGTTGTGGCATGTGGGATCTAGTTCCCTGACTAGGGATCTAACCCAGGTCCCTTGCATTGGGAGCGGAGTTATAGCCACTGGACCACCAGGGAAGTCCCTCTTGTTCTTATTTCTAATTGCTGGCATTGCTTTCAGAAAATAATGGTTTTTGCATCCTATTTCACACAAAGAAAGGGGCTCTGAAGTTGTTAGTATGTGATGGGCCATATACCTGCCCTCCTCTGAGAAAGCCATGGTGCTTAATACCTCATTCCAAAGTCTCAGTGGTGCTGCAACAAAGAATTCTGTTTATCGGATCCATTTGCCAGAGTGAAACACAGATCCTTTTTTATGCATGCCTATTAATAGCTCTGTGGAACACAATGAGTTGAAATTTCAAACATACCTGCATTTGTGAATGAGCTTAACTTTTAATGTTTTCAATTCACCATGGCATTAACTGCCATTTCTCAAGGTACAACTGGAAATTCCCTGGCAGTCCAGTGGTTAGGAATGCCGTGCTTTTACTGCTGAGGGCACGGGTTTTCGATCCCTGGTCAGGGAACCGAGATCCTACAAGCTGTGCAGTGTGGCCAAAAAAAATTTTTTTTAATTAACAACAACAAAAAAAGGTACTCCGATGCCTCTCTACTCCTGTAGAGAAATAGTCACATTTCAAAGCACTGAACTCAGAATCTGAAAACCCGTGTTTAAATGCTTGTCACCATTTATCAATCATGTGACTCCGAATATGCTGCTTAATCTGAGCTTCAGTTCCTTCACCTGAAAATTGGGAGTAGGAGCTGTTCAACCACTCCTCTGATGAGAGGGTCACAGATAGCACACAGGAGATTATCTAAATCTGGAAATAATTTCAAGTAACAGTATGTTTATATGAGGCTTGGGCCAGAGTTGTTTACAGACAGGAACCAGTGGTCTGCTTCCCAGTCCAGATTATAGCACTAACCCAGGAAACAACCTGGTGAGCAGAAAGGAGTCCTAGTGCACACATGAAAACCCGAAGGCCTGCTCAGATCCGGGTGCATCAGCCTGTGGCTTTAGTGGCAGACAGCACCCTCCGCTACTACGGATCTCTTTTGCTCCAATCAAATCAGCAGGAGGAGGAAGCCATCAACTCTCTTTCTTTTGCCCATGCACAAAGGAGACTGGACAAAAACAGGATTCCACAGGCATACCAGCGCTGACTAGCAGGGTGTAGAAACTAGTCGCATTGCCTGCCACTGGACTAGGAATCTGGGATAATTGTCACTGCCCTCTTTTGCCCCTACTGCAGGATATCCGATTGCTAAATCATTGTCAATACACCCATCTGATGAAATTAGGCCCATGAGGCCACTACGGTTAATATCAGGGTGAATCCAGGATGCACACAGAGGCCGCCTCTGACAGAGAAGCACAGAACTAAAGTCCTTGTCTAAACAGCTGAAGCTTTTTCCTTGAAAAAGACAAGCTAGAGCACATGAAGAGACCTGAGATTTCTGACAAGTTTTCTCATTCAAACTGTAGAGCTAGTGACATCAATATTCATATCGCTAGGGAAGGTGTGACCCTGACACTTTATGTGATCTAACTTAAATATTTTCTCTTTTATAATTTGGGTCATCTACTCTTCCACCCAAGACTATAAAAAAAAACAAATGCATAAATAGCTATGAGGTGCGTTTACTTGTAACGCATTCCTAGAGTTAAACAGAAAAGTGCCAGAGAAGAAAAAAAAATAAGACACGAGCAACCACCAAACAAGATTTGTTTACATCTATTTAATGCTAAGAACACAGATATCCTCAAGAAGGGACACACCTAAGAAACAGAGTTTTGAGTTTTTTTCCTGAACAGGATTTTGATCATGAAAACTAGTAATTCAAACCTCTAAAACAATAGAGCACATAAATCTAAAAATGCAACACATATTTTATCTCTTACCTGAATTACCTGAGAACCCTGAAACATTCTCTTGAAGAGCTATCCATATTAAAATTGTGCAAAGAAACTGTACCCATAGTGTTTAAACCATAAAACCAAGACTGGGTTTATACATGATAAAATAAACATAAAGCACATAAAATACCATGCAGCTCATAGAGTTCAAAGAAAATCAGAGTGAAGGAAAGGCAATGAGGACAGGAGACATTCTGGAAAGCGGGATGCTCCAATGACATCTACTGCAAGGCTGTTTGAGGCCAGGAGCTCTGAATGTGTGGAGCTGTCACTGATAAGATGGATAAAGCGTGATTTCTCGAACTGCCAGCAAGTTAGTGGATGATCTGGCAAAACTTCCGGAATTAAAACCAAGGTAGTTTTCAGTAAGGAATGTTTTTCTTGAAAGCATGGCCAGCATGTGGTTGAGCCGGGACCTGATCCCAGCAAAGTGAAACTGTCTCTCTTTATTCAAGTTTCTGAATGAGTCTCTGAAGCACAGATCGAAGTGGGGGGTGCTCCAGTACTTAGGGTGTCCAGGCGTGGCAAAGTCAGTGGATCTGAAGGAAGTCTGGGAACCGATGGAGCTGGCCACGGAGCCTTGGGAGGACAGAGAGGAGGAGGATCTCAAACTGGAGGAGCGCGACACAGACATCTTTGATACTGGTGACGCTTCCTTAGACTGGCTTCCCGGAGAGGCGAGAACACCCTCGTCCACGTCAGTTTGGGTAGTGGCCGATGTGGTCGGGACCACGGTTTGGGAGCTCACCACCCTGGTGGCCACTGCGGTCTGGGTGCCGGCGCATGCCATGGCCGCGCTGGCTTGTGTCCCCACGTCACTCATGCTCACAGCGGGTGTCTCCTCTCCTGGCTCTGTCTGAGTGGCGGCATCAGTCGCCCTCCTGCCCTCCAGCCTGTCCCTGCGGCTGCTGAAGTAGTCCTCTTCGCTGATGGTGGAGGCCTTGGAGGCCCCGCACCCAGCCTCTGCCCGGCCCTCCTCGCCACCCAGCTCGGCCTTCCGGGGAGTGCTCGAGAGCCTGGCCAGCCGCAGCCGCAGCAGGTTGCCCAGTGTGAGCTCCTTAGACAGCAGTTTCTGCTCGACAAGATGGTCAAACCTGCCACTGATCCGGAAGCTGGACAGGAGCTTGGAGCTGATGGGCTTTGACTGTGCGTAGAGGATTCGGAACTCCAGGTCAAAGTGTTCAACCACTTGGCCGGACAGAATCACCAAGTTGCTGCTGTTTAGTTTGCCATCTGTCCATGTAAAACTGCAGGATTAAAAACAGAAGCTGATAAGGATGACTGATCTTCATTTACTTACTGTCAACCTGATTATAAAGCCCAGACATCCTGTGACAAGAGTCACAATTCAGGTGACAGCACACCTACCATGCAGTGTGAATTCCAACTCGCCTTAACACAGGATATAACCCAGGAATATGTTAACATTGAAATCAAAAAGGGACTTCCCTGGCAGTCCAGCAGGTGAGACTCCGACTCCCACCGCAAGGGGCATGGGATGGATTCTTGGACAGGGAACTGAGATCCCACGTGCTAGAGGGTTCAGCCAAAAGGTTAAAAAATAAAAAGACCAGTAATTCAACCAACAGGCTAAAACGTATAATCCTCAGCCTCAGAGTTGCTAAAAACTAGAAAGGGCTCCTAAGGTGCTGAGGGCAGCGCCCTCCTTTGAGGAGTGAAGAACGTGCCTTGCGATGTCCCGGGGGAAGCTCGTAGTGGAGCCTAGACTGGGCCCCAGAACTTCAGAACCACAGGGGCAGTGCTCCTCACTACCTCCCCCACGCTGCTGTTTCCACAGAGGGAGACAGGCCTGTCATTCTCATGATGACACTGTTGCTCAACACACATGTAGAGCTGATTAGTGGCCGCGCGCCCCTGGCGGTCCAGTGAGCCGCCTCCTTCCTATGGTGACAGGACCCCGCCCACCCCAGCCCAGCCAGCAGCATGGAGGCACCCTCTCCAGGTACAGCAGGGCTGGGCAGGTGACCCAGGCTGGCCAGAGTATCCTACCCCTTAGATGAGGGGATCTGCGCAGGGTAGGTGGTAAGCCAGTGACAGCCAAGGAATTTTGCAAGGCCTGATACCATCAGAGAGTGAGAGGAAGTCTCTCACTTTGATAAATAGCTACTGAAGTTCACATTAGGGAGCCTGGACCTCTGTCTGCAAATAGAGAGCCTGACTGAGAATAAAGATCCATGAGAGGACTTCCCTGATGGTCCAGTGATTAAGAATCTGCCTGCCAATGCAGGGGACATGGGTTCAATCCCTGGTCCGGGAAGATCCCATGTGCCACGGGGCAGGTGAATCTGTTCTCCCCAGCAGGAGAAGCCACTGCAATGAAAAGCCCACACACTGCAATGAAGAGTTGCCCCCACTCACCACAACTAGGGAAAACCCATGCATAGCAACGAAGTCCCAGTGCAGCCGGGGGGAAAAAAAAATCAGCTAGAGGAAAGCAGAAATATGAGACAGTGCTCTGATAAATACATGGCCCCTAGGTCAAGATGAGCTGAAAACCAGTGGCACCGTTCTATACTTTCAAGTTAGGTGAGACAGTCAATGCCATTTTGCATAAAGTAGTTTGAGCCAGTTTTCTGCACCACCAGCAATCACCCCACTGACTCAGAAAAATTTCTATCAGGAGTAGGGTGTTTACATAAAAAAATCATAAAATGTAGTAGCAACTCTGTCTCTTGCAACCAAGAACCCAGGCAAAAACAAATTCACTGTGCAACAATTGCCTTCAGAGCTGGAGAAGAAAGATCCTTTTGAATACCATCAGTAAGATCATGTAAACAAGACCCTTATCCAACACCAGGATTAAAAAAATGTCCTCAGCAAATGAAAACTATCCTTACTCTCATCCTCAGTGGTAGCATATTTCATTTTTAGGAGGTAGCTGTAGGAGCCACTGTGTCCTTGTCTTTTGAAGTAAGATGCCAGCTCCAGAGTTAATGATTGGGAAATGTAAAGATGTAGAAACAAAGAGCTGTTGGGCTGGGGAGCTGGTAACAATTTAGACTATAAATCTGCCACACAGCAGAATCACTGAACTCCTAGTTCCCTGAAAGATAGAGATAAGGGCCTAACGCACATCCCAAATTGTTTCTATAGGAAGCAGAAACCGTCCATGTGAAAACTGCTGACTACAAGAACATAGATCCCAGACTGGTTGAAACCAGAAGTCTGATGAAGCTTGAAACTTCACCTTGATGCCAACCAATCCGAAAACTGTCCACAAGATGATTACACCCTGCTCCTTGAACACAATAAAATTCCTCACCAGCCCCTCCAGGGTGGATCACAGAGTCTTGAGATCAAGAGCCCGCTGGCGCCCTCTCTGCCCGGCAAAGCAATGAAAGCTACTCTTTTCTACTTCACCTAAAAATCTGTGTTTCTATTTGGAACTGGTGAACAGAGGCCAAGTTTCAGCAACAATTTTTGTATTTCAGATTCAGAATAGTCAAAAATCATTTGGAAGTTTGGTTAATATAGATAAATCCTACTGTGGGTAAAAATCTTAGTTTCCTCCTATTACTGCCAAACTTCTTATGAAAGGAAGTCTTAAGGAGGAGTTCAAATTGTTATGAGCAATGATGGTACTGTTTGAAAAGAAAGACACCAAGAGTTTCTTAATCTGCCTGACTCCTCTCACACAAGCCTCTGCACACCCACCTTTATCCAGGGCTGACACTCATTAACACTCAGGGCTGCCTGCTTCTTCAAATATAGTTTTTCTTCTTTAAACTGTAGAGACATACCTCAGCTCACATATACCATCAGACAGTCTAACACAGAGATGGCAAAACACACCACCATCAGAGCCATGTCCATAAAAATGGTATATCTTAACCTCTGGAGATCATCATTTAGCACTTCTTAGCTATACCCTCCATTCAAATTCCCTGCTCTCTACCCTAAGATGCCACGCCAACAGGAGACTTCAAAGGTGGAGACAAAAGCTTGGATCTACTTTCTAGACTAAAGCACCAAATCATAAGGCTTGAATCAAGGTGAAGGATTAAAGTAGGCAGCTTCGGCTGTGCCCTCCATCCTGAGCCCAATGCCTACAACTGCCCTTAATTCAAGTGGGCAGGGACAAGGTGGGTCGAAGGCCCGGAGAACCAGGACTTGAGACTGATGCAGTCACTGTTGTTGCTGCTGCTGTTGTCGTTTAGTCACTTAGTCGTGTCTGACTCTTTGCGACTCCTTGGACTGTAGCACAGCAGGCTCCTCTCTCCGTGGGATTTCCCAGGCAAGAATGCTGGAGTGGGTTGCCATTTCCTTCTCCGGAGAACTTCCTGACCCAGGGATGGAACCCAAGACTCCGTACTGCAGGCGGATTCTTTATGCTGAACCACCAGCGAAGCCCCCCTGTTCCAGTCACTGTTAATCCCAAATTCATCCACTGCAAGCCTCGCTAAGCCTTGAATCGAGGACTCCTGACTCACTGTCAGGTCTCCAGATAAGTTTTAACCTCTGCACTTTAGGTTTGTGAACCACAAAGGCAGTGGAGGGGACCCTGACCCAACCCACTCCAAGAAGAAGAGGCTTTGATTAACCTATGCACACCTGTTCACACCCACAGATGCACACACAGAGGTATGTTTGCCCATAAAGGCTCACATTGAGAGGGAATAGCAACTTTCACCTTCATAGAGCATACTTCCTCTTAAAAGTTTAGATTAATAAACATGGATGGGTCAGAAACTCACCTGTAGGAGCCTGTAGCCACACGAATGCCATCAATCAGTGTGAACTTTTCATGAACCTTCCCAACAATTTTAGTTCCTGACCTGGCGTAGTAAATATTTCCTGTAATCGTCCGGACAGTCATCAGCTGTTGGTAGGGGAGTGGGAGAAAAAGAAATGAATGATCCCGTGAGCACATGATAGAAGCAGCCTTAGTTTACGATTTCTGAACAGATAAACGTACTGGCAGATGAGAGGTTACACTGCTGGGTAACAATGCCCACATTACGGGAGCCAGGTGAGTCTGAGGACTTAAGTAATGCTATTCACGTAAGTTCATCTTCTTCCATACTTTTTTATGCATGCATATTTATTTCTGAGACCTTCAGTTCATGTGGACTTGTGCTCTAAAAGAAGATTCACTTTTTGGAGACACTGAACAACAGAATTCAAACAATGACTTTGAAACAAATGTGGGGTATAAAATCATCAAAGAAAACATGATAATAGTAATAAATAACATTTTAACAAAGACTTAAAGAAGCTAAGGTGACAATTCTCCTCTTGTATAATAGCGCTGCTAATAAATAACAGCCCATCCACACTCATCCCTACACCATAATGGGTATGGGGAACAGGAAAAGAGGACAAGCCTTCTCTAAATACAGGGTTTCTGAGGCGGAAACACTCATATTATGTGTGTTAATCAGCAATGTTACTTCTCCCACAAGTCTGCATTTACCAAAAAGGTACTCTGGTGATACACTGGGGCCATACGTTGTATAATTATCCTTGCAGAATGACACACATAAATGTATACACAATGGTATGCAAAATACTAAGCCAACCTGCATTCTTTGGAGCAGAGCAGTAGCTCTGTATCTTTACAAATCTTACACACCAGAAGTAAATGTCTAAGATTTTTGTTTGATTCTCTCATTCACTCCACAAACAACAGAAAGCCCCTACTATGTACCAAGCCTTGCGACAATAGATATAAGGCATGCTCCTTACCTTCAAGGACCAGGAGACAGAAAATTAATGATTAAATTAAATGATTTTAAATTAATGATTAAATTACTATAGCAAGACATGACACCATCCAAAGAAGTGAAAACCTACATGTCCACAAAAACCTGTACACAAATATTCATAGCAACTTTATTCATAATTGTAAAAAACTGGAAACTACCCTAATATCCATCAGTGAGTGAACAGTTAAACAAACTGTGGTTTACCCATGCTATATGATACTGTTCAGCATGAAAAAAGCCAGTCTCAGAAGGTCACACACAAGAAGGAGGACACACGTATGCCGAAGGCTGACTCATGTCGAGGTATGGCAGAAACCAGCACAACACTGGGAAGCAATTCCCCTCAAACTAAAAATAAATGCTTTTTATAAGGGCCACATACTGCAGACTTCATCTACATAACATTCTCTAAGTAGTCTCTAAATGACAAAATGACAGAGATGGGGGACAAATTAGTGGTTGCCACTAATTTGGGATGAAAGATGCTGGGAAGGGAACTGGAGGGGAGTGTATGTGACCATAAAGATGCAGCATGAGGGAGACCTTTGTGGTGATTGAATAGCTCTGTATTCTGATAGCAGTGGTTACACATATGTACACATGTGATAAAATGGCACAGAACAATAGACCCACATGGTACCCATGTCAATTTCCAGGTTCTGATGTTGTAAGTTATATAAAGTATAACTTGGGGGAAACTGGGTGAAGGATACATGGAAACCTGTATGTACTAATACTATCTTCCTATCTTCACAACTTCTATCATTATTTCATAATGAAGATGAAAGACAAAACAAACTATGGCATAACACAACATTGTTTCTGCGCTATTCTTACCAAAATGCGAAATACGAATTTAACCATGAGGAAACATCAGACAAATTCCATAGGAAACTGGCTAATATTCTTCAAAAGCATTAAGACTCTAACACGAACAGTTCCAGATGAGAGGAAGCTAGGAGAAACGGCAACTAAATGCCAGATATGGTCCCAGATTGCATCCTAGGTAAGAAAACAGGCATTCATGGAATGATTCATGAAACTCACAATGTCTATAAAATAGGTAATAGGACTCTTATCAAGTTTATTTCATGATTTTGAAATTTGTTCTGAGGTTTGTCAAGATGTTAACATTTAGAGAATCTGGGCACGGAGCATTCAGGGATGCCTTATACTATTTCTCTAACACCTTTGTAAATCAAATTATTTAAAAAAAAAAAAAAAAAACAACTAGAACCTTCCATAGAGGTGCACATGGAGCTGGCAGGGGAGGGATTCCTGGATAATTCCTGAGCAGAGCGTCAAAGGATCTGCATATAATACAAGCATGAAGAACATCACTGTGGGCAGATTTCAGTGTGATTTCGTGCATCTTTCCCTTTGGCATTTATCTGAATATTATATAGGCCTCTGTGATTGTGTTCAAAGCACTTTTAAAAACATTATTCATTTATGGTTGTGTTGGGTCTTCATTGCTGCAAAGGCTTTCTCTGGTTGCAGTGAGTGGAAGTTATTCTTTACTTGCGGTGCATGGGTTTTTCATTGCAGTGGCTTCTCATTGCAGAGCGTGGGCTTGAAAGTCAGAATCAGTAGTTGTGGTGCACAGGCTTAGCTGCCCCAAGGCATATGGAATCTTCCCGGACCAGGGTTCAAACCTGTGTCCCCTGGATTGGCAGGCAGATTCTTAACCACTGGACCACCAGGGAAGCCCAAAGCACTTTTTTTTTTTTTTTAATTTATTTATTTATTTATTTTTTTAATTTATTTTTTTAATTTTATTTTTCCATTTATTTTTATTAGTTGGAGGCTAATTACTTTACATCATTACAGTAGTTTTTGTTATACATTGAAATGAATTAGCCATGGATTTCCAAAGCACTTTTTATTTATTTTTTATTTTTAAAAACTTTTTATTTTATACTGGAGGATAGTTGTTTTACAATCAAAGCACCCTTGAGTGCCTTGCACACTTAGGTGTGCCCAAGTTCCTGCAGAGCGGGCAGAAGAAGTCGCCCCCAAGAGGTGAGGGACAGACTCACCGACACAGGCAGGCCCTGGCGAGCGAAGGCACCGGGAAGGTGGGCTTCCCAGGGAATAAGTTAGGACAGGAACACTGGTGAGGCCAAAGGGACAGGCCTCCCATGACCCTTCCTGAGGATGCAGGCCCTCCCAAAGGCAGCAACCAGTAGCAGGCAACTGAATTGGCAAATACACCTAGGTTTTTGCTGAGTGGATGAATCAGAGCCAATCACTCAATCAACGTCATGACCTGCCTGCCACTCACACACAGCCTCAATTACAGCAACAGCACTTTGAAATTAAACACTGACACCTTCAATTTCTTCGCCGGGCTCTACGGCAGAGCAGACTGAATGTCTGGTTCGATCACGATGTGCTTTCCAGGCCTGACTTGCATTTCCCTTGGGTTTACCTGACGCATTTTTAAACTGTTGAAAACAAGCTAGTGAAGTCATAATCTTACACTTAAATACTTGGCTCAAATTCTTTCATGCTCAGGGCAAAGGATATAAAAAGTCTACTTTCAAAATAACAAGAAATGAGAGGCAGCATGTGACAGGGATTAAGAACCCTGGGGCTGAGACTTCCTTGGTGGTCCAGTGGTTAGGAATCTGCCTGCCAATCCAGGGGACACAAGTTCGATCCTTGGTCCAAGAAGATCCCATATGCCACAGGGCAGCTAAGCCTGCATGACAGAATGACTGAGACTGTGCAAGGGCAACTAGAGAAAGCCCACACGAAAAAACAAAGACCCACTGCTGTCAAAACTCAAAAAAAAAAACAAAAAAACACCAGGGCTGGAGGCAAGCAGACAGATGGAGAAACTCCATCCCACTACTTTTTAGCTACAGACCCTGGGCTCTTGGTGTCACCACTTCCCAGTCTGAAAATAGGTATAACACCACTCACCTGATGGGGCTGCTGTGAGCATCAAGTGGTATAACACTGTCAACAGCCTCGAACAGCGCCAAGGACAGACCAGGATTCCATAAACGGTGATCATCACGATTAAAATTGGAGCCTACCAGTGCTGCGGTCAAAAGCAGCAGCTTCTCCTCCCCATTAGAGAAATGCTACCTACTCTGATGGACAGAACAGCACTTTGTGTGTAAGAAACCAGTCTAGTTCTTTCCAGAATTTCCATCTCATTTTATGTTTCTGGGAACTTCCTTATTTTGGAAAATAAGGATATTACTTTTGGGGGTTTCCTTTGAAAATACTAGCCATTTTTCTTTATAGATTAAAAAACATTCTCTCTGATCATTGTATAATACATTTTTACACTAAAAAAAGAAAAGGCAGCAGCTTCCAAGGCAGCCTCTTGCCAGGAGAGGCCAAGGTCTGACCCCGACTCTGTCCATCCCTCCAGTGAGACTTCAGGCAGAGACTTTGCTCGCGGCCTCCAGTCCCTCCCCGCTTCCACTGGGGAGACCACCACCAACTGCCCCGTAGCTCACCGACAGTCATTACTTGCTGATTGTGGTGAAACTAGAGACTTTGTAACACAAACCTTTTCTTCTTCGGGATGAACTTTCAGATCCATGCACATATCCAAAAACTGAGAGAGCAGAGCCTGGTCCAGGAGGATGTAGACAGCAACTCCCTGTTTCCGAGAGATTTCCTGCAGGTCTCGGAAGATGTCGATGTCCGTGAAAACATCCATCACCACTGCAATCACCTAGGGTGTGGGGCAGGGAGAAAAGTCAGTGGTCAACCCACAAGAACAGCACCTTACAGCTGGCCGTCAGGACTCTGGACCCACTCTCGGAACTGCCAAAGGATCCCTCCTTCCTTCTCCTTCTGCAGTATCAGCTTTCCCCTCACCATGGACTCTTACCCATTTCCAAAGACGCTCTGGCCACTGTATCCTACAAATCTGGAACTGACCCAGCTAACCCTCCCAACTGCCTCCCAGCCCCTTTCCTCCACACTGAAAATTTCTCAAAACTATAAATTCAACCACTACCTTGACCTCCTATGAACCTGTTCCATTTAATTCTCTTCATTTACTAAAACCCTCGTCTTACAGCTCAGACCAGCAAGCTATCCAGGTTCTGCAGCTAACACACTGTTATCTTAGACATGTGGCTTTTTGTCTATGTCTGTAACACACGCATGTAAAACCTTAAGAGTCTCTCGGAGGCCCCTTCTGGGTATATCAGTCTCCAAGCCTGACTTTATTGTCTGATTTTGGATCATAATATGATTTTCTATTATAATCTAGAAAGGACCACCCCATTTACCACTGACTCAAGGCTTGAAACTGATCAAACCGGGCAGGCTGATGCTCCCACCTTCTGCCTCAGCATGTCACAGCACATCTTCATGATGTCTACTCCCTCCACCAGTCGGAATCTAACCAAATGGCTTCTGGAGCACCAGCCTCTCCTTTGTAAGAGGTGGTCCTTGCAGTTCTCTTGTATCTATCCACAATGCAAGCCCGCAACAAGAACACAGAAATATGTCCTAAAGATGCTGAACTGGAGCTTGGACCAGTCCTTTCCCTCTTCCCAAGGACGGGGCTCCATTTTGTCTCCTGATCAATTTCCCTTTGTGCTGATCAATGTCACTCAGCACAGACTAGGCGCTGCCTTCTGGCCTTGGGCAGATTATAGCTGCTCTGAAAGTTTTAATCCTTAGCTACAAAAATCGGTTCCTAGTGAGCATTAAATGACTACGTTACATGGAGTGCTCTGTACAAGAGACCCTCTGGTATCTGCTCGCTGACTGTGACCAGCCCTGAGGCTGAGCCATCCAGACAGTTGAGGGCAGAGAAACGTCTGCTGGCCCCCAGCTTTCTTGCTCAAGAGAGGCCGCTCCAGTGGCAAATCCTCTCATCGCTTCCTCTGCAGCTTCAAAGCATGGTTGTCAGCTAACTGCTGGCAGGGCTGTGGGGGCATCAAAACATGCAGGTCTTGTACAAGTCCCTGCATTGAGTCAGAGCCAGGGTTGGGGCCAGGGTGGGGAGGGGGTGTCAGCTTAAGAAACCACTCCCAAAGCCCAAGGTTCGGAGCTCTTTTGTGGGATGGAAAATCGCACCAGTAAAAACACGAGACTCTTCCCATCATATTAACTCCTGATTTATTTACAGGTCTCATCTCTTCTGTGGGGGCAGAGGCCCTTGAACAGGACTGATTCATCCCTCTGGTCCCAGAGAGCTCAGGACAATGCTCAAGGGTCATCATCCAATAACGCCTTACAGGGAGCTTGAACGAATCTTTTGGCCAACTCAATATTTGAGTGTCAAAGAAATGCAGAGACAAAGGGACAATTTCACTGTCCTTCTCTAACATTGCACAGTCTTGTCTACCAGGAGGATGGACCTTGAAATGCCAGCTCCCGGGAAGTCACTGCTGTGAGGGAATTTGGGAAGGAGTATTTCTCTCCCTGGCTCCCTTTCTCCAATTTTGCCAAAATCCCAGCTGTGAGCTATTCTTGACAAAGGGTACAGCTAAAACCCGCTGGAGACAGTGACTTAGAAAACAAGCATTCTTTCTAAATTGGTGGCATCTCCAGAAGTTTATATTCTCGAATGCGTTTTTATGCATCCTATTTGGAGATGTATCTATCCCATGTAATTCAGCAGTTGAAAGGCAGAGAGGCCTAGGAGCAGACCCCAGCTCTGTGACCCAGGGCAAGTTGCTTAATCTCTCTGAGCCTCAGTTTCCTCCTCCAGTAGATATGGAGAACAGCATCTGGCATCTGCGTCAAAGGACTGCTGCAAGGATTAAAGGAGACAGAGCCTGGGAAGGGCTTAGCTCAAGCATGAAATCAGCATTCGATTATGCAGCCAGCACTTCTTTCAGGGTCTACTGTGAGCTGAAGCCTGTGCTAGGTAGGAAAATGGTGATAAAGAATTCGGCACACACCTGACTTACCCACAAAGCGAGGACCTGGGATGCAGGCAAGGAAAGTGGTACACACATGGTAAGAGGCAATGAAATCGGGGGAACACTTCGCAGGGACAGGGAGACAGTAAAGCATCTCCCTTGCAGGAGCAGACCCAACACAGGCCCCCAGAGGAGAGCCAGGGAGGATTCCTGGAGGAGACGGCATTTGAGCGGAACCACAAATAAGGACAATTTAGCCAGGGGAGAAGTGAAGGGGTGGAGGGTGGGGGGGGCATCCAGCAAGAAGCCATGTAATGACAGAGGAAGAGGCAGGAAATGACGAGGTATGTCCCCGTCTGGCTGGAATGCAGAGAACACACAAGAGGGAGCAACAGCCCATGACTGAGAGACAGGGGAGTGTGCAGGAGCATGGAAGGTCCTGGACGCCAAGCAAGGCATCAGGACCATACAGGTCACGGAGAGGAGGAGGTTTAAAAAGAGTGACGAGGGCAGTGATGGAGCCACCAGGACAGAAGATACTGATGGCGGTGTAGGGTGAAGATGTGGCCCTCTCTTCCGACCCAAGGCCACGTACCTAAGTGCCTACTGTATTGCTTTTTAGGTTCACAAATGTTTAGGAGGACTAAAGACCAAAATGGGCTTCCCAGATGGTTCAGTAGTAAAGAATCCACCTCCTATTGCAGGAGACATGGGTTCAATCCCTGGGTCAGGAAGATCCCTGAGAGAATGAAATGGCAACTCACTCCAGTATTCTTGCCTGGGAAATCCCAGGGACAGAGGAGCCTGGCAGGCTATAGTCCATGTGGTCACAAAGAGACATGACTGAGCGACTCAGCGCATAGCACACAGTGACCGAGAGAGGGACTTCCCTGGCGGTCCAGTGGTTAAGACTCCATGTTTCATGGAGTTCGATCCCTGGTTGGGGAACTAAGATCTTGCATGCCGCATTTGAAAGTCACTCAGTCATATCCAGCTCTTTGCAACCCCATGGACTATGCAGACCATGGACTTTTCCAGGCCAGAATACTGGAGTGGGTAGCATAGCACAGCCTTTAAAAAAAAAAAGAAGACGACTAAAAGAACAAAAATCAGCAACAGAGGTTTCAATGGGGGGCCAGGTGGGAAACCATGAGGGTCACAGAGGAGTCTGATGTGAACTCAGGTCCACACAACAGAAAACAGAAAAAGAAACAATCCCGAGAGGGAAGTTTCAAAATTAATTGTGAGGTGGCATAAAATCTCATAAAGAGGTTCTGAATGCACACGTGTGAGAAGAGAGTCGAGCTCATAAAAAGTGAGAGAAAAACAAATCCAGAGTCAGTCCCCATCCTCAAGAGAGACAGGAGATGAGATGGGGTATCTCAGCGCGATGGAGCCACTGGGTGTACACCCTGGCATCACTGGGACAGAGCCAAGGAGGCCAGCCCAGCTGGCCAGGCTAGAGAGGGTTGGAGGGTTGCTGGGTAGGGCCCCAGAAGCAGGGCCCATAGTATAAGGCACCTGCCAAACTGAATTTTGATTCATCACCCTAACAAAACAACTGTACAAACACCACCATTGTTACAGAGTGAGTAAGGATCTAATTTGCTATTAGTTTCATTGTTTGGTTTTGAGGCCTCAACCTTTCCTGTGTGTTGAAAATAATTGGATTTGAACTGGTCTCTCACACCCACGGAGTAGTTAAGAGGGTGGATGGAGGTGTTTCTCCTGATTCCCCCTGTATCCAACATCCCCTCCTCTTTCTAGAGCAGGGCCCTTAAAAGACTTCTGGGAAAAAAAACAAAAAAAGACTTCTGGGAGCAGTCGCAGTAAAGCCTGCCTTCCTTCAAGACAGACCCCCACCCTACCCCCCCCAATCTCTGCCCTTAGCCCCTCCCCACCCCCATGCAACCAAGCCCTGAGTAGCTGAACTAGACCTGGGGCTTCTCAAGTCTCTAAAAGGACAGCCTCTTCACTGAACTGAGCTATGACCTGGGCTCATTCACTAGCCAGCTGAGTACCTGCTCTCCAGGGCTGGCCCCATCTCAGTGGTGTTGGTGTTCATGCCCTAGAAGATACACTTGGACTTGAAAGTGATCATCACTCCACTTCCTGAGTCATACCACAGGACGGACAAGGAGAGACCCACGGGCAGGTGGGCATTGCCCTGTAACAGTTCGTGCTGCAAAGATTCTGTCTGTTCTCTTAGGGCTGGAAAGCTCTGCAAGTAGTGGTTCGTGAAAGTCTTTCAGGGTCAAAGCCCATCTGAGCATGTCAGTCCTAAAATGACACCTAAAGAGGAAACACTCAGCTGTCGGAGCCTGGATGGCTGGTCTGCTGCCTGGTCCTCATGCTGTTCCTGCTTTTCTGCAGCCACATCTAGAGCAGCCACTCCTGAGTCAAGTCCATGTCATCATCACAGATGACACAACCTCAAGTTACCTCCTTCAGTCACTCAGTCCAACTCTCCCCCGATGATTTATACCATGGGACCCGGTGATCCACATGATTACAGGTAGCAGTCCCCAGAGTATTCTGCATTGATTCCCTCATTTATGTTACTTTCCACCTACAACTGGAATCTTTTCCATTTGCCAAAAGCTCTAAAGAAGTATCTTGAGATCTGAAAACCCCATTAATTGTTATCTCCAATTTACTGAAAAGAAAAATAAAGCATGCAGAGGTTCTATGACTTGTTCAAGGTGACACTTAGTCAAATGCAGGAGCTAGAATTTCAGTGCCATTGGGGCACCCCCAGAGCTACCTATTAAAAAGTGTTAAACATTATCCCAAACAAATCTAATTTCAGTCTTCAAATGATTGAGAACTTGGAATAGATCCTGAAAGG